AGAAGTTCTTATGTCAATTGTTGAAATATTGTTCCTTACTTATATATATATATATATATATACTACTGTAAAAATAAATTACCTGTCAATTGTTGAAATATTGTTCCTTACTTATATATATATATGTATACTACTGTAAAAATAAAGGACCTGTCAATTGTTGAAATATTGTTCCTTATTCATATATATATACTGTTGTACGAATAAATGATCTGTCAATTGTTGAAATATCGTTCCTTATTGATATATAAATACTTCTGTAGGAATAAATGACCTAATAAATGAATCATTAATTTTATAACTAATTTGTAAAAACACCAACGAAAAATGTAAATAAATTTGTTGATTCAAGCGTTCCGGTATTCACAATACATTCATGTTATGAAAATAATCGAAAAATTGAAATAATTTAACTGGAAAGGAAAAAAAAACAACTTAAATAAAGATATCTTAAATCACGATTTGTGATACTGTTTTGAGATTTGTAGATAATATGTTAATAAACAATTATGTATGCTAACATCACGTTAATTATTTAAGTATATACTAGAAATGATAATAATTGGTAATTAGTATAAAATATAAATAACTAATGATTAGGTGTAAGTAATCGTACAAGCTACTAACCATAATTACAATCACCATTAATAATTTCGAAATAAAGTTGCAAAATTAAAACAATATACAAAAAGGTCTTTCCTCGTTGAAAGTTTCATTTTGATAAGATTACTTTGGCTCTTTAACAATTTTGAAGTGATATTGCCAGACCACTTTACTTAGTCTTTAATAAAAACAATTTAAGTGCGAAGCAGATATTTAAATATGCGTTTTTATGTGTCATGATATTCATTCTGCTATGACATTTACACACTTTATGTTCGGAAATAAATCCAAACTTTTTTCATCAAAATATCTTATATTTCAAATACAGAAGGAATAGAAAACATAAGACAAATCTTACCTTTTGTTAGGCTCATCTAACACAAAACGATATAGGACTGTCAGAATCAAATAACTGGCAGAAAATACTATTAACTCTCTATAAATCATCTTCCAGACACTACCTCTCCATCGTAATAACAACTTCACCAACCCTCCTGATGTAGAAGAAGCAACGTCGTATTGATAACTCACTGTCATTTTGTCTGGTTGGTCAGGGCCCTTGCAGTCAATCAAATCTTATTACCACCTGCGTCGTTTCCTTCGATAGGGCACTCCTTATTTGCTGATGTTTAACTCTACTAGGTGAAAGCAATAATTCCAGATCACTTTGGCGAGCCTCAAAGTTTACTTGTTGTTGTCTTATCGTTTCTTTACTAATCAGCGTCTTGCATGTTAGGTTGCGTGAATGACCACAGTTAAGAAACGCTACTGGAAGAAGTTGAGCTAAACTTATAAGAAGACCATCTTAAGGACTTGATTTTGTTCCTTACACAGCAAGTATATAATACGATCTTTCTCTCGTTTACAGTTTTGTATTCAGTTAATCTACTGACCTTAAAATATTTCTGTAAAAGACGTTCGCTAAAAGCTGTCTGCTTACCTACTATTGTTCAAAATCCAAGAAAAATACGACGAAAAGTTTAAATTTAAATTGCTAAGTGAATTGTATTCTATGAAATGAAAAGAAAGATGGAATGTTTTTATCTACAAATTATGGTATTCCAGTACAGAGAAAGACACGAAATCCTTCTATAGAAATATTCAATCGAACATTTCACTGATACTGGAGTAGAGTCATGCATTACACCAACTGAAATTGGTCGATATATCACTTAAACTGCGCGTATGTTAAAAAATAGCTCCAAGACAGGTGCCTGAGGATTATTTCAAAACACATGCATCATTTCAAAACTGACTGTAACAAAAATTATTTGCTTTTCTTGATGTTAGTTGTAAGGTGCAGGTACGACATACTGTGCTGCTAACCCCGTGTACGCAAAGATACTACGTTTTTGTTTTACTTTCTAAACTGAAAAAAGCGGAAGGTTGCTTGGAGCTAAAATTATGTTTGGCACAAAGCACTGGTTGAGGAGAACAGGAACGTTGCAGTATAACTTGCTGATGGATGGCTCAGGTTTATAAGTTTGAGCTATATTATTCATACAGGTATTGTATTTCAATGTTAAATATTATATAGAAATAAGTGTGCTCTAAAACTCAATATAATATATAACCTTTGACACTGGTTACCTTACACTCTGGTGTGCACAGTAACAGTAGCATGTTACTGAAATGCAATGGACTTAAAGCTGTAATGAAACCCCAGTTACTATAAAAGTTATTCAGTTCCTCTATAATTATTTTCTTCGTTTCTTTGCTTACGCATTAACAAAAAAGTTACTGATGGATGTGATACGAGTATCATATTGACTCACAAGACAAAACCTGCATATAGTAATTGTTTTTTAAACCGTTTGAGTTTTAGATCTTTATGTGATAAGAAAGCACGTTTAATAAAATCGTTAGAGTATCTGATTTAGTTAACATTGTTGTTTAGATATGATACATAACTTGATATCATAAATATAATATCCATTGCCATCAGGTCAGTTCATATACATCAAATATAATATCCATTACAATTCAGGCTAATTTAAATACACTAGATTCAGTTGTCATAATTATCTATAGAGCTACACAAAGGAGTTGCAAGTACATATAAAAACAATAAATTGTATAATAAAGCTAGAACTCCCTTTCTCTTGACATTTTCCTCACTTAATGTTATAAAATATGTTTTTGTTTGTAAGATATCTTACTGATTTGTAAATCAAGTGATATCACATAATTAACCTTCTTACGACATTTCTCTTTTCTCAGGTGAGTTTGTATAACAATTGACATTTGTTTTTTGTTAAAAACTTAAAGAAAAACGTTAAAAGGTTTAACAGATACTCTTTGATAAAGTTAATTGACAAGAGAGAAGCTAAAAATCCATTTTGCCACATTTAGTATAATTTCAGAGAAATTATGTGTATTAAGAGCCTACAATAAATTGATTTTGCGTCATTATTCCCACAGAAAGCGTTTGATAAGAAAAAATGAAACGGTCAACAACCTTAATGATATGACAACACAGTTTATCCTCGATTTTCTTGCCCTCTGTCAGAAGTACACTAAGGGTATACCTGAAACTCTGTTCTGGAGAAATGTATGTATTTTTCGGGATACTGATTCGAAAATTGAAAATAAAGCTTTTTACGAACTGTTTGTTCCTGTTCAAAGTGGTAATCTCACCACATCGTTCTAGTCCCTGTCACCACGTCCGGTCATGCTCTATCTGACGACCATGCATTTTGCCAATAACCCTACAGCGTGATTTCCATTACAAAATGCTCTGTCGGAAGACTGTCATATCCAAAGCACAATATTCCTCCCTTAAAGCTTTCCATTATTCATCTAGTTTACGAAGATGACGGTTTTCCAGCATTCGTTCTATCAGTGCGATTGCATGAAGCTCCAGTACCTTTTCTTATGGAATAGCATGAATACTCGTTTCATTCTCCAACTTCTTGAAATATGGGAAGATTGAATAGCATGTTGTGAAAGCAACTTTTGTGACGGGACTTCCGTCGAGTTTCCAAATGTGGATCCTTCTTGATTACGTTGTGAACAGTTTCCTGGAGCACATGGACGCCTTTTGCCACTGATGTCTGTGTTCGTGGATTCTCTCCTGTTAAAAGACCCCGCAACTTAACTACCACGGCTGGTGCATGATTTATTGCATGTTTCTTTCTGGATGGTCATGATGGCCCACATTAATCCATATTTTTTCCCAATTCCGTGAAGTACAAGGGATATCCCCGTCATGGAAATTCTAAATCTCTAATCTCAATACATTTTTATAATCCTAGAGCTGTTTGTTGTTTGCTTGTTGTTTAAAGTTAAGCTCAAAGCTACACAATGGGCTATCTGTGCTCGGCCCACCATGGGTATCGAAATCCGGTTTCTAGCGTTGTAATTCCGCAGAAATTCCGCTGCGCCACTGGGGGCTCCTAGAGCTGATTCTAATCATTTGAGTTTGGCTTCACCCCTAGTCAAACACCCCTAGTCTTATTTTTTGTATTTTTCTTTTGTTGTTGTTGTTCTTCTTTGGGTCCACAGAAACTAATTTCAAACCATTTACCGATGTCTTAGGTCACCGTTTCCACGGAAAACACTTACTGACGAAAAACTCTTATTTTCATTTAATTATTATTAAAATGTCAAGTTATTGTTCGGACACTTTGAAACTTGCCATGTTTCTTGATAACCACACAATAATTAAGCAATAGAAACCCCAGAATGTTTTTTATGCTAATTTATTAGCAACTAAGAGTAAAAAATAAGCTTTTTCAACCGTCATTCAATGTTTGAATCATCATCTGTCACCAGCTGGTCTTCAGTGCAGAATGATTTGATCCATTTCTACAGTCTTGTCCACAGTTACATACCCCAGTGCAAGCCAGTTTGCTGCTTTTGCAAGAGCACCGAGCAGGTAAGCAGACATGACACTTGCAGCTAACACACTGAAGCACTGCCTTTGGTACTTCAGGATTGTCTTTCCAATGAAAACACACAACTGATTCATGAGCAGTCCATCCATTGCCATTGGGATAAGATGTGATTGGTCTAGCTTCAAGACAAATTGTGGCTTGATAATTAGCTGGCTTTATACAATTTCTACAAGCATCTTTGCATGGTGGCAATTTAGTTGGGTCCATGGTTTTTGATCCAAACATTGCCAGACGAAGTTTACTGACAATTGCCTACGCGATTCCATAGAAAATGCAGACTGCTGCCTCTCCGTTGCTCAACAAATTTTCATCAACTACAAGTGACTGCCTAAGTTGAGCCATTGTACTTCTGAAGAAGATGTTGTTTTTGGGTAACTGCAATCACTTTTTTCTTACCATGTCCAACAAAAGCACTAGTAGAGTTACATCCACTGAAAGAGTGGTAGCCAATCAGGGCATCATAAACATTCTTTCCCAAGGAAGATCCTATGGCAGTGAGATCTATATAACGCTTTCATTGTTTCATTCCTGTCCTAAATAACATACAAACTGCAAATTTATAGCTTTTCCCCATTCTCATTATGGGAAAACCTATGTTAGGTGACTTCAAGATTAGGTTTTTGGAACCATGCTGGGAAGCATGTAATCCATGTAGCAACATTTGGCTATCAGTTACTTTATCGAGTTCAGATATTGACACTGAGAATATATAATTTCTTTCAACCCCAGTAGCTTACAATTTAGTCCCCCGGTGGAACAGCGGTAAGTCTTCAGAGTTACGACGTTATAACAAGAGATTCGATTCCCCTCGGTAGACACAGCACATAACTCGATGTTGCTTTGTTATACACACACATACACACAAAATTTAAAAAACAAAATTTTTACTCAGATTCTTAATTAGTTTATCAAAACATTTCTTTCATGACGTAAATTTCCAAATGTAATAAACCGACACAATAATAAAAACGTTTACTTGTTCTGTTGTAATACTTACACGATCATATAATTTTACAGTTTTTACCTTTTATTTTTGGGTAATTCAGGTAAAAGCAAATGTATGATCACACCTTCAGCTGAAAATTCGTGTAAATACATCTTGGTATGTTCGTGGAGTGGTATGAGTTGCTTTTTGGAGTAATACCAATTTTTTGTGTGTTGTTAAAACGCACATCTACATAACTGTTGGCGTGTGTATGAAGTAATACTTTTTGGGAGTAATACCAGTCTATTGCGAATTTAAAGTTCACAAAAGTTGTTTGGTTTTTAATTACGGATTTTCCATAATTCAGCTACGTAGATTTCGAATATAATATTCATTTTTTTCTATCACGTAAGGATTTTTTTTACAAATCGGGAGGAAGAAAAAACACTTACTTAGATCAAATTTACAACAAATTTACCACAAATATAACAGAATATATTTGGGACATTTACAC